ACCCAGATTGTTGGGGGCAATATGCTGACTCTCTGTAAACCGCTTAGAGAGGGCTGAAAGCCCTATGAAGCGGTATATAAGTCTACTGCTATTACTGTCTTGAATCTAAAAACACAAGCCAAGAGGTGGTTGCAACACTGCTACTATTGACACTGTCTGGGGTGAGCCTATCTTCACGGGTTCCTGTGTTGAACGTACTTTTTTTTGCTTGTTATATCAAGTTTGGTACATGCAAGTTAGTTTCTGTCTTCAGATTTCATAAGATACCAGCTATTGATAACCTGTACTAAGAATCTGAAGCCTTGAGATACAACAGAGATTACTTAAGTACCATTCAGAGTTAGAACAGCCCCTCCCCCAAGCTACAAAGCCTGTTTCAAAATTTTAGCAACTGAAGTATCCCCACAGTCGTTTTCCCTTACAACCAACCACAGAGACCCTGCAGTGCCACCCCTCCACTCTCGCCCCTACCCTCCACAGGCCTCGTGCCTACTTTCCACCCCATCTCTGCTACCAATCATGCCACCCCACCCCCAGTGTTCCTGGGCCACTGGACTTGACTTTGTCCCAAAAGTGGGTGCCATTTTCTGAGCAGCCACAATTAAACAGCAACCTAATCACCCAGCAAGTGGCTTCCCTCCCACTTTTTCCCTCCCACTGGCGGCTTTTCTACAGTGGCAATGCTTGCCTCAGCCTTTGCCTGTCCCCCCACTCCGCTACCTGTGTTGGGTTTAGTCCTCTCCTGCACCACTCAGGACCCACGTTTTACCTGTCTGCAGTTGCCAGGGATTTCCCTCCACTCTCCAGGGGGCTACCAGTTAAAAAAAATAGATTAAAATATACCAAAGTTGGGGGGGAGGGACTTTAAAGAATGGAAGGAGAAAGGCTTCCTTCAGAAGCATGTGCACATATACAAACACATCTTAAACACTTCTTGTAATAACTGAAAGGAAGGTTTATATGTTAGTCTTGTGTGTGTTACCTCCCCTGAAAGAATCAAAACCGGTTCAATCCAAATACTTGGATGGGAGACTGGAAATACCTGAATCTAAGACAGCTTTGGAACTTGAATGAAAATAACTTCCCAGAAACAGGCTGTAGTGAACTGCTTGTGTATTGCTGCCAAGAAATTTTCATGGACGTGTCAATGAAGCCACCAAAATCTGAGTTTAGCTTTTTCTCACTGTGCTAAATAACTGAAAACCTCAAAATATTTTGTTTGATTGATTGTTTTTCAAAGCTCAGTCCAAAGAAAATTTTGCTTACATCCCTACATCCCTCTTTCATTCTTAAAGTAATGAAAGGATAAAATGTGAACATTTGAATTAAAACTAGTAGTTTACTTAAGCAATTTGCATTGAGAAGAAAGAAATGCATTTCTTCTTATTGCAAGTTTGAATTTATAAAAGCGCCTGGTAACAGAATGGAAACTTTATTGGGAGAATATTTGAAAAAATGTATTCTATATACTTCTTGTTTAATATTTAATCTATCTGAACTTTAAGTTACTTAGGGGAATGAAATAAAGAAGAGACAGTTCAGATTAAGAATGGATAAATTTATGATCAACCACTATATTGTTGAAATATGTTTTTTGAGCTGCGAATCAACATTTGTATGTCACCCTTTCTCACAATTATAGGTTACATGAACAAAACAATAATTTGTCTGTAAAATATTCATAAAATCATACAACTAAAATTTACAAATACTATTAATAGAGCTACTAATAAAACTGATCTCCTGCCCGGCAGATCTGAATCCCCCCTGAAGATTAATTGTGCTACATCCGTGGTTCTGATTATATTAGAGCAAGCTGTGCCAATATCCAATGTTTCTATCTTCTTGCTTTGATACTGCATAAAATATTCAAAATTTGGATTTGCATGTTAAACATATTTCTTTAAATGTTTTAAAACAGTGCTGCATATTTGCAAACTTGTTCTCATTTATTCATAAGATGATGCTTATTTTTTGTTTAAAATATGTCCATAATATGTGCACCAGCATTAAGTTTTCAGTAGTAAAATATCCCTAGTTTTCTCAATGAATGGTTCTTTCCTTCTAGATTCATTCCTGAGTCACCTCGTTGGTTATATTCCCAAGGTCGGCTCCATGAAGCTGAAGATTCTCTCTACCTCATTGCAAAGAGAAACTACAAGCCCAAGTGCACTTTTTCACTTAAACTTCCAACTGCATGGAGTTGTAAGGAGTCTTGTAGTATTATGGATCTGTTCCGATATAAGATCCTTTTGGGACGTACTCTGGTCATGCTGTACATCTGGTATATATGCTACTTTTTAAAAATTATCTTTGAAGTTCTGCTTTCGGTTTACTGAAATATGTCATAAAATAGTCAGGTAGTGATTTGGGGACTGTTGTAATTTATTGTTTTTTTATTGTCTCTGTAGTTCTTAGTTTGAAACCATTTACTTAAAAAAGGGGTTGTGGCAAACCTTCTGAGTGGATTTGGAATATAATGTAGACAATGGTAAAGATGGCAATTTATTGTGAAAATGTTTTTGTTTCAGCCGTGTTGTCATGGAAAACATTGAAGTGTAATAATACTAATTAGATTGTAATTCATCATAATTTGCTGTTTCTTGTACTGTATAAGATTGGTACACTTTTGAAATCAAGACAAAAACCAGTCTGCTGACCTTTCAGAGGCATATCAGTACTTTTTAATTCGCTATGACAATACCTCCTTCCTTTCCAATCAGCTCAAAATTACTGCTAAATTTGATTGTTTTTGGTACTAAATTTCAGCAGTATGATTTTGGGGTCATGTTATGTTTTGAGTGGAGATGAAGATGAGGATTTGCCTCCTAAAACCTTTACATTTCTATCCCTAAGCTTAAATATATGCCCAGAACCAATCCTTAGCCTATATGTTCACGATAGGGTAGGTATCCAAAGTCAAATTGATTTGATTGTACATGAGATGTAGTTCTCAATACCACAATGCAGAGCCATTTCATATATTGAATGCTCCGATCAATTGAAAATGACAAATATGATGGTATGGTATGCTATACATAGACACATTCCGAATTCTGAAAAGTTATATATGTATAAAATATTGTGAAATGGTTACTTTATGTTATTTTACTTTGCTATAGCTAACCATGATGCTAGCATTAATACCTAACCATGATATTATAGTTAATCAGCCAAACTTTATGTTGTTCAAAGATCAGTATAGAACAAGTCAGTTCAAAACTGTTAAAAGCAAAATAGGACCAAACACAAAACCCAAGCCAAAAGAATAGTAGAGAATATTATTGTTTCTATTGTTACCACTAACAAACTGCCTCTCAAGGACCAAAAAAAGTCCAGAATATTATTTGTCTAAAACTAAGAAATAAAGATTCCAGACTCACTGGAGAAGAGCCTAATGCTGGGAATGATTGGTGGCAAAAGAAGAAAGGGATGACAGAGAATGAGGTGGCTGGATGAAGTCAGTGAAGCAGTCGGCGTGGGCTTAAATAGGCTCCGGGCGATGGTAGAGGACAGGAAGGCCTGGAGGAATGTTGTCCATGGGGTTGCGATGGGTCGGACATGACTTCGCTACTAACAACAACAAAGACATAAAGCCAAAAATCCTACCTAGAAGTATATTAAAAGAAAACAGAATAAAGTGACATCTATCTACATATACTTGATGATGATGATGATGATGAAGAAGAAGATGATAATGATATCCATTCAGTTATGTCTGATTCTTGGCAGTTCTTATTAGTATGGTACAAAAGCTAGGCACAAGTCAGGTCTTGAGCTTGCTTCCCACTATGCCTGGCTCCACACCCTCCTCCCGAACCCTGATCACCCATCGTGAGGTGATCTTAAGATTTCCAGAACTTCAGAGGCATGGAATTGTGGCTGCTCTGAAAATGGCTATCTCAAATGCATCTGTATTACTTAGGAATGAAATCATACACTTTGCTTCCCTAACACACTCTACAATGCTACAGAAAGCTCCAGAGTCAGGCAGCTATGCCCCTCCCCGCCTCATTTTACATTTTGCATCTACTTAACAATCTCATAAATCATTTGTTAAAACACTCTTTTCAAACTTTACCTGATAAATTTAATAGCTAGAAGATCTATAAATGAGACCAAAATTTTGTCTTTACTATATTAACTTCCAAGTGCACTTCTAAATATAATTTACTCTTAAAATCTGAAACTCTGGGCAGTTTACAAAGTCAGCATATTGCCCCCAACAACTGGGTCCTCATTTTATCGACACCGGAAGGATGGGGCAACCTTGAACTGAACAGAATCAAACTCTTGGCAATGGGCAGAATCAGCCTGCAATACTGCATTCTAACCACTGCACCACTGTGGCTCCAATTGGTCTTCTGGAAATTGTAGATGATGATCAGGCATAACACATTTGTTTGCTTTCAAGTATATAGTTATTTTATACACAGGATGTTAAAGTGTATTGCGATTAAAATGTTTCATTTTTGTCACCTCTAGGTTTGTATGCAGCTTGGTTTATTATGGTCTTACTCTCAATGTGGGTGATCTGGGTGGCAGTATCTATGCTAATTTGGCTCTTTCTGGTCTAATAGAGATTCCTGCATACCCACTCTGTATCTATTTGATAGGCCAGAAATGGTGAGTTTTGAATAGATGTTACATATATGTCAGATTATGCTTTGGGACAGATCAAAAACATGAGTCCATGGAATCATATATAAGCATCTCTACACATTCAGTTTATGTATTTAGAATGAAAGACATGTTTTTATTTTATAATGAGATGGTCCAAGTACATCCCATTGACTGTACTTCCCTTCTATCCCTTTTTGGAGACCCCCTAAGTTTGTACTAACTGAAGATTCCATCACCAAATAGTGGCATGGCTTTCCTTTTTGAAAAGAAATGAGCAGGAAAATACATATTTTCCAGTTCAGTATAGGTAGTCCTCAACTTACAACAGCGTTGAGCCCAAAACTTCTATTGATAAGCAAGTCAGTTATTAAGTGAGTTTTGCTCTGTTTTATAATCTTTCTTACCACAGATGTTAAGTGAATCCTTGCAGTTGTTAAGTTAGTAACACAGTTGTTAAGTGGCTTTCCCACTGACTTTGCTTGTCAGAAGGTCGCAAAAGGTGATTGCATGACACCGGGACACTGCAACCAACATAAATTTGAGCCACTTGTTAAGTGTCTGAATTTTGTTCATAAGACTATGGGGATGCTGCAATGCTTGAAAGTGTGAAAAATAGTCATGCCACTTTTTCAGGGCTGTCATAACTTTGAATGGTCACTAAATGGTTGTAAGTCAAGGACTTCCTGTATGTGCAGTCCTTGTGTGTGATTTTTTGAGCACATGCTCAAAAAAAAATAGCAATATCAATAGCACTTCAACATATACAACTTCACAGTGCTTTATAGCCATCTCTAAGCAGTTTACAGAGTCAGCATATCTACCCAACCATCTCATTTTACCAATCTTGGAAGGATGGAGGGCTGAGTCAACCTTAAGCCAGTAAGATTTGAACTGCAAAACTTCTGGCAGCTGGCAGTCAGCAGAAGTAGCCTTCAGTACTGCATTCTAATCACTGCACCATCATGACTCTTCTTTAGGACAGGTCAAGAACATGCATCTTGCAATAGTGCAAGTTTCTAGACCCATAGTAGTCTTTGTAGTAGTCTCACTTCATCATTTCAGTGTTCTTTGTAACTTTTGGCAACTGGAACAAAAGATTGGGGAAAATTAATGAAGTGATATTTCAGTTATGAAACCTAATTGACGCAATCGACTATAAAATAGTTTCTATCCTATTTTAATGATATTACTAAACATGGTAACATAGAAAGCTGTGTAAAATACATTTTATCTAGCAAGAAAATGAAGCATTGTGAGAACTGCAAATGCATTATTATCTGGAAAGTTTGTGTAGCTCACTATGGTGATTAGTAGAAATCAGCACAGGTATGACGAGCAGTAGGTCCTCAAATTGTCCTCATCTCATGGCATCATGATATAATAGTGCCTTTTTACAAAAAGGAGGATATAAATCAAATACATTCATTAATTTCTCCTCATGTTGCCTTTTTTTTTGTTTTCATTTCCTTCTGATTGTCAGGTTTGGCCGTAAACGGACTCTTGCTGCATTTTTGTTTCTAGGAGGACTAGCCTCTCTCCTTGTCATGTTCCTTCCGCAACAGAAAGGTAAAAGGATTTATTTAATTATGGAAACTAGTGTTAATCAAATGTGGAGTTGGTCCCCTCTCTAAGAGTGCTCTGGTTACCCCTGAACTATGAACCTCATAGCCTAGAAACATAGGACAGGCAGCAGTCACAACTCCTTTTCTCCAATGAAAATATTTCCTTAACCTTGCCAGAGTTGGGAGGCTATCAGCTTAGACTAACCTAACAAGTGTACAGTCCTGGATTTACAATGGCAGTGGGGACTACTAGGATGGCTGCTATTATGCATTGTGGTTGTAAAGTGTGATGACACGTGATTGCATTGCTTAATGATAACAATTCCACACTCCCCATTGCTGTCTGTCAGGCCTGCAGTGGTTGCTTTAAGAATCTTTGGCCTGCCACACTCTCATTAAGGGGGGGGGGAATAGCAAGGGGTAGAATGTGTTGTTTTCAAAATAAAAAA